CACCTTCTGTATACTATTAGATCTTTAAGTTCAGCGCAGAAAGCCAGTGCCTCTGCGGTGCCTCTGTGGAGCCCCCTACCACGGAGTAGCGGTCCGATATTTGTTCCATGCACCGAAGTCAAGGGAAACAATGCGCCTTCACGAGAGCGTGCTTCTTTACCATGTGACTTGTCGATTTTCAGTTCTTCCTCGCGAACAACTAGCGAAATATATATGGTATTTTCTTACCTCCCATCAATCATGATCTACGTATCGCAGAAGTGAGGACTGGAGGAACAGACTCACGTGATCGGCCCGTCTGCGAAAAGTGCGATGTTCTCAGTGTCAGCGAGCTTTCCCGCGTACATGGAAGCCGGGCATATATAGTTCCCGCTGTGCGTTTACCCTTGCTTCTGTATTACTCTACCCCCGTGCGGTTCCAGCCGCTAAAAATGCATTTATCCAAAACCTTGTAGCGTAGCACGCTGATGCGAGGAAACAGACACTCCCCGACCCCACCATAGCTTTCTTCTGTGTGTTTATTATCCTAGTCCACAGACTTGGTAACATCTAGGCTTCTTCTGACCCCAATTACATCATGATGTAGCTAAAATTTCATCAATCCTGGAAACACCGCTTGAAGCAGCAACATCAATGCCGGATCACGTGACCCTCTGGGTGCAAATCCTTTTTTCGGTACTCGAGGGAAAGTTTTTCGGCACAAGTGGGATAGAGTGAAAAAAGTTTTTCGGGACAGAAGGTGAAAAAAGTGGAATTAGTATGGGGATTACGGCGGAAGTGGGTGTGGCACCCTTATAAGGCTGGACACCGAAGTTGTTTTCGAGCTATGTCTTCTATTAAGTTTCGAAATGTTTTCTTATTCACCTGCACATGACTGTGACAATTTATTCATTCCTGAGTTGCTAGAATTGACACCACATAAACGAAAGACACTCCACATCAATTTTGACCAACTTAGTGAAGTTAACATTTCTCTAACTGTAGGTCAAGGAAAACATCGGTTTTGAAAGGTAGTATTCAAAAACCGTTAACTTTGGCCTGTGTCAGCAGGCTGATAAATCCAGCCATTAGTGGGGCTCCCTAGATATCAAGTCAACCTATTTATGTAATGAGATTTTTACAAATAGTAATCCGCTAGTAAAGGGCCCAAAGTATACATTATATTGCTAAATTATGTTATAGCGACACAAGCTGAGCTTATACAAGGATTTAGGAAGTCAAGACTATCAAATATTAGTTTATCCTGCAGCAACTAAATACTCGCCACAAAATGAAATGACAATTGGTGATCAGGAGTATCGCCATAGAAGATTCTTTTAAACTCAACTAACCAAACTTTTAGCAAAACGTCCATAATTTGGAGCTGCTGAACATAGTATAAGTTCATGTAGATGAGTTTAATCATTTCTTTGGTTGAAATTTTGGTAGAAGCACTCTAGTTAGAACATTCTTCGTTCAGCTGCAGTATATTTCAAGATTTTCAAACTATTTACATATAATAGGGCCATGATTTGAATGTACCGCCCTATTTTCAAAGCTTTCTTTGGAAGTATGCTATTTATTTAGCTCCGCTGTCATGTGTATAATGTTTAACTGGGAATTCAAAGCTGAGAGTTGAGGAAAACAGCGCTTCGTCAAATTTTAGGTTATTGGTAAGGCGGTAGGCGGTCAAATTATAGATAGAGACATAAGCTTTAAAGACCACTTGATACTTGGGAAATTTGTTGCAATTGCGCAAGCTCTGGAGCTCATGACAATCTTGAGATTGATAATCATAGGCAAAACTCCTCTTTTAGTGTCGTACTGAGCCTTTCAACGCCATTTAAAAGCGTCTCAGAAGTTACAGCTGCGAACGTTGCTCTAAAGAATATTTCATTTGGATCCAAGCCTGTATGACCTTCGGAAGACTGAGGAGGCTCGGTATTGCCATTTGTTTTGAACCAGCTACCAGGAATTACCAGCACACCGTTTGCAATCGTCTTTTCATAAATTGCTTTTTCAACAAGCTCTGGATTCGACATGTACGTCGTGGCAAACTCTGGATGGGCGGAAGCATTAATGTTTACGGTAAAAAACATACCTGCCGTGGGAGGAGTCACGCGAAATATAGAAGTTTCTGGTAGGCACTTCAACAAGCCGTCGATTGCCAGATCTCTCTTCTCAGTGTATTCGCGACGTAGACCAATTAACCAGTCAATGTATCCGCTTTGACCCCACCGATTCAGTGTACCAGCTACAACTGCCTGACTCAATCCCGACGGATTTTGTATAGTCATCTCATGTAGTTGATTGTACGCTCTCAAAATCCTCTTGGAAGCCACTATCCACCCTAATCTGGTACCAGGGGCTAGTACTTTGGAGAACGAGTCCATCCTAATTACTCGGCCTTCTGTATCTAGTGAAATGAATGACCTTGAAAGCGATTTCAAATATTCAGTTTGAGACTTGAACTGAGTAAACTTGCGCTGCGTAGCATCTCTCTCATAGGCGTCCATCTGCAAAAAATAATAGGGCTCATCTTCAATGATCAAAAGATCATGCTTCTGAGCTATACGATAAATTTCGATTCTTCTGTTGTTGCCCAAAGTGGACCCTGTAGGGTTTTGACCAGTAGGTATCGTGTATAACAGCTTTGGTTTCTTTGTCTGCGGATTCCAGTTATCGAGAATATACTCAAGCCTCTCAGGAATCAATCCATGTTCATCAAGAGGTACCGGAAATACGGTAATTCCTTGCGCTTCTGCCGCATAAATTGACGACGAAAAAGAATATTGTTCGGCCAGAATGGTTTCTCCTTTGTTGCAAAATATTCTTAATGTCGATTCCCATGAGGTTGTGTTGCCTGTGGTAGCCAAAACGTCCCAGTCTGTATATTTCATCTCGTGGACAAGCTGCGTGTGATCTCTTATAAAAGAGAGGAGCTCTGGCTGACCCATTCCAAAACCGTATTGCAAGGCACGAGCCAAAGGAATATCTCTCGAATCAACACTATCAATTTTATCCGAATTTTCAAGTTTCACAAGACATGTGTTCTTTTGCGAAACTGGATGTGACACGTTGACCATCTCACCAGTCGTAGTGGGAGGGAAAGACGAATGAGCTTCAATAGTATCCCATGGAAAATATTTGCTCAAAGGAAGGCCACCTCCAAGGAATGCTATGTCAGGGTTTTGAAAATAGTGGATACAAGATTTTAAAGGCGATGACTTCCGGGCGCGAGTCTCATCGGAGTAATGATATGAAAAATCCAGGGCTTCGGATACTGTCATTTTAAAGATTCTTAGTTTTCGACTGTTCTTCTTGACAACTTAATTAGCTTGAGGTTTGTGCTCCAGAGAAGTTTCATCCCATTTTATACCAGTTGATGGCATTGCTTCGTATATGACCGGATCTCGATCTGCTGGATTTGTCGGAATGTGGAAAGAGAAATTATGCCGAGATATCACGTACATGACGATCATTCGGAATACGTCCAGACATAAATTCTTGAGGTAGTTATACTGATTAAAGCCAACGTAAAAAAAATTTTTGGAGATGTGGAGGAAACGTAAAGCGTAGCCAGTACAGCATAACCACGAAGGTTGATAGCGGCAATTTCTTCAAAATGCAATTTTGACCCTAATTTTTTAAGAAAATCTTGCTCGGCATCGTTTGAAGTCATAGCCTTGTTCATTGTGCCATTCAAATGTTAGCTAAGTATGATAATTCCGCATTCGGACCGAGCTTTCATTTGTAGTCACTAATTGGTCTTTCCGATATCTCGGAATCAATTTTGCTCATCTCATAGATAGCGGTAAAAAAAATTTCCTAAGAATCAGGATCTCGGGAATATTTTTTTATGCTTTTAACTTTTTTCCCGAAATTGAGATCCGAAATATTCAGACGGCCAGGTACATAAACATGACTAACTGCTTAATATGTCCATGAACTATCTGCTGCAAATACACAATTGATCAGTGATATTAACTATAATATAGCCCATAATGATTAAGATGATTAAGCCAGCACTTTTGTTCATTGCAGGTCCTAATGAGGCCTCAGACCTTTTAAACTCTGTTATAAAGGAAAACTTTCAAGTGTTTTTTTACAAATTCAAATCGAAGAACCCTGAGAGTTTTTTGACCTATTTGCATGAAACTTTTTCAGAAAGAGTTCCTCTTGTCGCTATATATGCAGGCTTTACTGCATTTTCTCCTATTGGTGGGCTCACAAAATCTCTCATCGAACATCAATACTTTCCGACAGATACTCTTCAGTGTATAACATTGTGTTCTCGCGGGTTTGACGCGTGTGACATTAAATCACTCGAAGCGTATGGTATCAAACTTTTCAATTACGAAGATACAGCGACTGACATAGGGGTTGAGCAAGGCATAAGTAAACCATCACTAGTCGGAAATGATGTCGCTGATTGTGTTCTTTGGCATGTAATTGAAGGATTTAGAAAATTCTCTTTGCAACAACAGAACCTCCGTCATTACAAGCATACTGCTTTGGCCCGATTTTGTGCTAATGGCAGAAGTCCAGAGAAGTTTGAAGGTGCTTTTGGTCATGAATTGCGCACATGCCACGCCAGATCTCCTCGGGATCAAAAAGCTTTGATCCTGGGTCTGGGCGGTATAGGAAAAAAAATAGCATACAAATTACAACATGGTTTAGGCATGGAGGTCCACTACGCTAAGAGAAGTGCGGACAATGATGTAGAATGGAGGTTTCATGTTTTAGATGACACCTTGCTTCCCAAACTGTCTGAATTTTCGACAATCGTGGTCGCTTTACCTGGTTCTCAATTCACAAAGCATCTAATTGACAGAAAATTTTTAAGCTACTGTTCCACTGACCTAATACTGGTAAATATTGGCCGGGGGATAATTTTGGAGCAGTCTGCAATCAATGACGCTTTGAGAGAAAACAAATTGAGACATCTGGGGGTAGACGTGTTTTACGCGGAGCCATACGTTGACGACTTCTTATTAAGTTGTAATGCGAATGTTAGCTCTACACCGCACATCGGAAGTGGCACGGAGGAAGTATTCAATCAGAGCTGTGAGTTTGCTCTTAACAATATCATCGAGGTTGTATTAAAGGGGAATGAGGGCCATTCTCGATTAGTATAGAGATAATTAGCATCAAGGAAAAAGTAGAGCTGTGTGGCCCATGCCACCTGATTACAGAGGTATTAATAACTTGTAATTGACTAAAAAAACACCCACAAATCACTGTGACTAGTTTGACAGCTAAAAATTGCATGGGTGTTGAGCGTGCATTGTAAAGAAAATGGCCCCTTGAAATCAAACTCACTCATTCAATG